TCTTGACCTCGTGATCCACCCGCCTCGGCCTCCCAAAGTACTGGGATTACAGGCGTGAGCCACCGCGCCCGGCCAACATCCTCTTTATAGAAATAAGAAAACTGAGTTACAGAGAGGTAAGAAATTTGTCTAGCATCATAGCTAGCTTTAGAGCTTGTATCTTCTTTTTTTTTAATTAGAACTTTTTCCCTAATTTTTAATTTTTATTTTAGGGTACATGTGCAAGATGTGCAGGATTTTTACATAGGTAAACGTATTTCATGGTGGTTTGCTGCATCTATCAACCCATCACCAAGGTATTGAGCCCAGCATGCATTAGCTGTTTTTCCTAATGTTCTCGCTGCCCTCACCTCGGACAGGTCCCCGTGTGTGTTGTTTTCCTCCCCATGTTCATGTGTTCTCATTGTTCCACTCCCACTTATAAGTGAGAATATTCAGTGCTTGGTTTCTTAAACAGGATTCTCCAACCAGCAGGCCGTGGACTGGTACCTGTCCAGTGACCTGTTGGGAACTGGGCTGCACAGCAGGAGGTGAGCAGCAGGAGAGCAAGCATTACCACCTGAGCTTCACCTCCTGTCAGATCGGCAGTGGTATCAGATTCTGGGCCTGAACCCTATCTTGAACTGCACATGCCAGGGATCTAGGCTGTGTGATCCTTATGAGAATCCAGACAATGCCTGATGATCTGAGGTGGAACAGTTTCACTACAGAACCATCCCCAACTTCCCAAGGAAAAATTGTCTTCCACGAAATTTATTCCTGGTGCAAAAAAGGTTGGGCAGCACTGTTCTTAAACATTACTCTATAGTGCCTCTTGATTATGGCTCTAGAAAGTTAAGGAGTTTTGTTAATCATACACTATAATTTGTTTATGCTGTAAATATTTATTCTGCTTCACTCTCGTAGGTGTTAGGGATTTTAGTGAGCCAGGAAGGCCACATAAAGATCAGGGCAAAGGAAAGGGAATAACATAAAATATAAATGAAGTTCCTTTCTGACTGAAAGAAAGTATTGTGTCTCAGACCAAAAATATAAAAGGCACAGAATGGTAAGCTTTGAGATATATCCTAGTAAGATCTTGGAATTCTGAAATAAAGACTTTCTTGGATCTCCGGGTATAATAATCACATCATCGTAATGAGAAAATAAGCAGGCTGGCCTTGTATGTCTACAAAGAAACATTCAACTCAATAACATTAGAGCAGTATTCTCAAAAGCCACAAAGAAAGTATAACCCAAGCATTGCATTCTTAGCCAACTATTGCCCAAGTATAAAGACCTTGAAAATCTTTTCTGAGTATGTGAGAACCCAGAGAATATATTTTCCATCACTTATCTTATATAAACTGTTAGAAGACAAACTTCAGCAACCAAGAGTTGTCTGGAAATGCCATGCAAACTGGCTAGCAATTATTATTAATTCCTTTTATCAGTGGTAAGTTAAACACATATAAACATGTGTATTATGGTTACTGAACACAATGTAGAGATTATATTTTTAAATAGCTATAGCTGGAATTAAAAAGAAAAAGAGGGGAGACAGGGTAAAAGTATACTGATTCCCTCACCTACTAATATTATTTAAAAATAAGATAATATGATAGGCATTTATTTCCAGTTCAAATATGTGTCAAATATTTAAATTTAAAAAGATGTTTATAAATTCTTTAGTAAAATGGCCAAGTAAGATATAGATAAATATTTGTATTTAATTTATACTCATAATGAGCTAATATTTATTAGACTTCCATAATTGTTAGCTTTGACATACAGTATAAGGTTCACTGAATTTCTCTGAGATGGACATCATTATACGTATTCAGATTGGAAATTGATCTTTATATTATTTAATTAACTAGAGTCAGACAGTGAATCAGTGGTACATGAGCTGGTACATGAAAAAAAGTTATGTGAATACCAAGTCCTGTTTATTTTCTGGAACTATCTCTTGAACCAATACTGGCAATAAATGGCATGGTGGTTAAGAGTACAGGCCAAGCACTACCAATGACTTTCTGTGCTACCTTGGAAAAGTTACTTTACCTCTCTGTAGAATCTCTTGGCTCCACCATCTATTCATCTATAAAATAAGAATCACAAAAGTACCAACGTTGTGGGGTTTTCGTTGTTGCTGCTGCTGCTTTTATTATAACAATTTCAGAAAAACTTGAGGGTTCTGAATTCATCTTTCTCTTTGCAAACTTTGAATTGAAGGTTTTATGCTAAGTTATTGTGCTACTAAAATATTTTTCATGGGTTTTCATCATAAGATAAATGCAAACTTATTGTATAATTTAGAAAAAATTGTATAATTTTAGCTTATGTAATTGTCTAAATTATGTAATTTTCTAAGTAGGAGACCAAAAATATCACCTAGCAGCAACTATTTTTAACCATTTGATATTTTTCTTTCGAAAATCTTTCTATGCTTTATATTTTCATAGTTGTGATTACACTATACCACATTTTATATTACAGCATATAGTTTTTGTATTATTCAAAATCTCTCTTAAATATGATTTTAATAGCTACATAGAAGCCCTTTATATAAATATGCTATGTCTAACTATTCTTTTGATGTGATTAATACTTTTTAAAATAAATTATTTTCTGTATTTGTAATTATTTACCTAGAGTAGAAACCCAGATATGGAATTACTTGGTCAAAAAATATTAATAGTTTAAAGATTTCTATATATTTCCAAGTTGTCATAAGCTAAACTATGTACAGAACTTAAAATAATGCCTAAGGCAGTCTCACTCTGTTGCATAGGCTGGAGTGTAGTGGCGCAAACTCGGCTCACTGCAGCTCTGCCTCCCAGGTTCAAGTGATTCTCCTGCCTCAGCCTCCCGAGTAGCTGGGACTACAGGCACGCACCGCCACACCTGGCTAATTTTTGTGTTTTTAGTAGAGACGGGGTTTCACCATGTTGGCCAGGATGGTCTTGATCTCCTGACCTTGTGATCTGCCCACCTCAGCCTCCCAAAGTGCTGGGATTAAGGTGTGAGCCACCATGCCCCACCAGCATAGAACCTTTTAAAAATACCTTATATAGTAAAAATATTGACTATCTCTTTGTTTTAAATATTTCTCCATGATAGTTTATTTTAAATATATATAATATGAATTTTAAAAATACAAAGTGTTTCATGTTAATCATATCTGCTGATCCTTTTGTTTATAATTTCTTTTAATATTCTTCACTAATAAAATCATTCCGTAGCTAAATAGCTAATATTCTCTTATATTTCCTTATTTAATATTTACACACCACAGACCTTAGAAAATTCTTTACTTTCATATAATTTAGCTACATTTTCCTTTAGCATTCTGCTTATGCTAATAAGATTTATGATCTAGGTGTAAGACTGAAGTTATAAAAATTAGTCAGGCTTAATTAAAATTGGATGTGCCTGATTTAAAAAAAAAAAAATGCTCAATACATAGCTAAGTAGGGAGAGCTACATTTCAAGGTTATTTAAGCTCTCAGTTTTTCTTTGCTTTCTTTCTTTTTCTTGCAGGACTAAACAATGTCATCCAAGACTATAAGAGATATAAAATCCAGTGAAAAATAGGAGGGAGTTAGGTTGCTTTTAGATTTTTAATCTTTAAGCTTTCATGTAGGCAATGAGAGGGAAGGGGCTTACTGTTTTCTAAAAAAATTGATAGGCTTTAAGTTTCATGTATTCCACTGTTTGGAGAATTATCTTGACAGAAATTGCCGAACTTAGAAGGCCTCCCACTGTTATCTGCTCTAGCCACCCACTGTTATGAAGTTGTGGTGTTAATATGGATAAAACTTTGAGTGCAATGCCTGAACATGCCAAGGAACTTTACAAAAAAAGAAAAAAGAAAACTCTGCTTGTTCCCAGGCTAAGCAACCAACTCAGCTATTTCATAAACTAACAAAATTGAGCAACCATCACTGTCTTTAGAGAGTGATCAGCCTAACAACAAGAAAACATAGGTGGATAATAATAAAATATTGTCCTGGTGGGAAAAGACTTGGTCTGATTCCAGTTTTGCTATATTAATGAGTCCTCTCCAGAAAGGATAGTAACATCACAACATGGCTTGCCAGTACTGCCACATTCACTCTCATACTACTTTTCTATTTGAAATGTGTTAGCTTGTCAGTAACCTTGTCTTTTACTTCCAAAAAATATTATATTTAAATGGAGTTAAAATATCAAGGATATTTAATAATTTTTCTATTCCCTTAAGCAATGACGTTTTTAGGATCTATGTTAAATCACTTTTTCAGTAACCACAGCATAATAATCAGTACTTTAAGAAACAACAGACTAATAGGTGTGTTTTCTAAAGAATAACAGTTATAAATATATTTTAAATTAACAATAACTTAAAAAAAACTTGGGTATGGTTTCAAATTATTTGGGAACACAACGCTTATAATATTTTATATAAGTTCCATGTCAAAACATAACTTGATTTATTTACTAAACATTTATTGAGCATATACTGTGTGCCCAGGCTTTGGAATACATCAATAACTAAAGCAAACAAAAATTCTTACTATTGATCCTTCTAAGGGAACTGTGCTATATCTTCACCCTGGTATTAGCTACACACATCTACATTCATGCAATCTACAGGTAATAAAATTGCATGATACTAAATACACACACAAATAAATACATGTAAAACTAGTGAAATCTGAGAAAAGTGAATGGATTCTACCAATGCTAACTTTCTGGTTGTGATATTATAATATAGTTTTGCAACCTTACCTTTGGGGGACACTGGATCTTACACAAAGGATCTCTTTGCATTATTTCAATTTTTTTCTTTTCTTTTTCTTTTTTTTTTTTTTTTGAGACAGAATCCTGCTCTGTCGCCCAGGCCGGAGTGCAATGGTGTGATCTTGGGTCACTGCAGCCTCCACCTCCTGGGTTCAAGCAATTCTCCTGCCTCAGGCTCCTGAGCAGCTGGGATTACAGGTGCCCACCACCATGCCTGGCTAAATTTTTTGTGTTTTTAGTAGAAACGGGGTTTCACCATGTTGGCTAAACTGGTGAACTCCTGACCTCAGGTGATCCACCTGCCTCAGCCTTCCAAACTGCTGGGATTACAGGCATGAGCCACTGCTCCCAGCTCTCTTTGTAATATTTCTTACAACTATATGTGAATAAACAATCATCTGGAGATAAAAGTTATTTGTTTGTTTGTTTACAAATTCCTTACCTTTGGAACTTAAATTCTAGTGTCTGGAAACAGACAAAAAATAATAAACATAGTATATAAGTAAATTATATAATAGGATAGAAAGTAATTATAAACTATAGAAAAAAAAATAAGGTGGAGCAAGGAGAACCAGGAGTAGCCTAGGTCTATTGTGAAGGTGATGTTTGAGTAAAGATTTGGGAGATCAGCATTTACCTGTGGGAAAAGCATTCATCAGAGGGAACAGCCACTGCAAAACCTCTAAGGCAGAAAAGACCTTGAGTGTTTGAGGAGTTATGAGGTGGCTGGAACAGAGGGAAGCAGTAGGTAACTCGTAGAGAGCTGCAAGCCACCAAATGCTGGAAGATTGCGGAGGTCATTGTAAGGACTTTGGCTTTTTCTCTGAGTAGGTAACCCCTGGAAGGTTTTTGAATAGAGCTGTTGACATTTGACATACTTGTAAAGGACCACCCTGGTTTCCATGTTGAAAACAGAGTATAAGACACTAAGAGTGGAAGCAGAGAGATCTGTCAAGAGGCAATTCTACCGCAAGCATCAAGAAGAGAGAAAGCAGTAAAGACTTCCAAATTAGGGAAGTCTTCTGTCAAGACAGACAACTTGAGAACTAAGACAAAACCTAGCAGGGCACTACTTCTGTACTCTAACTTGCACATCAGTACCTCAGATAACAATTACGAAATCCACAACATTTCCAAGGAGAACTGCTTATAAGTAGATTATGCAGTGCCTAATTTGCATAAATTACAAATGTTCTTTATCATGGGAAATCATAAAGGCCTCATTTAATAAGTCTTTCTTTATGAAACATCAAAACACTTAATAAAAATCTTCTCATAGCTGATTTAGAAAACCTCTGCTACTCTCACTGCACCTATTCCAATTGTTTGAAACACAAAGGAGGCTGTCTGGCTACATCCCTTTTTCTTGCCTGTTCGAAGGTCCTTGGTCAGGGCCACTGGCAAGGTAACTCTGGCTCCCTCTACTGACTGCCTCCCAGGGTCAATGAGAAACCAGATTCATTAGCCCCATATAATTACAAGAAAAATCAAAAGAACATATTTATCTCCCCATGCCATCAAGTGTGATGTTATCCAACATAAAAATGTTTAAAGCTTTTGAAGAAATCAGATGCATGCATTGCCTATTGCTTAGAGACTGAACATCCTCATAAACTGAATAAGCGTAGCTCCAAAGCTATGAATTGTGCTGCATGTGCTATTGTTTCTATTCCTCTGTCATCTTACTCTGAATATATTACCGGTATGTTGTTAAGTGTTTATATGGTCCATTAAAAAATACCTTTTTAAAATCATTAAACGATGTGCACTTGCTTGCTACCATAAAAGATGGAATTTTGAAACAATTCAATCTCTTGAGGACTCAAAAGCAGCTGTTCTTTTGAAACTGTGGTTTATCCTGAAGTTCTGCCAGCCCAGTGGAAAAGTTTTAATACAATTAAATGAGACTGAAGCTGAAGCAGAACAAATATGCACTATGTGGCAGAATAAAACAAAGGCAAAATCCTACTTAAAGAATTCTTGAAAGGGACAGAAGAAGCTGCATATGCAAATGTTGAAGGTTGCTTCTATTTTCTTTTTGGCAACACAGTATTGACAATGAAAATGTTTCCTCATCTGATCCTGGATATAAAAAGAAAATAATTACAGCACTATTAATTCTATGAAAACCCCCACATTTGCCATCTCTCAACCACAGATTTTGGTTTCCCTGTTCCCAGACATCACAGCAGGGGGAGTTGCCTCCTACATGAAGGTTTTCTTTAGCAAAAGGTGTTTCATGTGACAGAATATTTCTTTATGCTTTTCTAGATATCATAATCCTTAAAAAGAGACGCTACATGAAGATTTTAAATTTTCTATAACTTCCTATCCTGCTCACAAATTAACTTGATTTACAGCAACATACTAAGGATAAAAACACATTAATTACTCAAAGATGCAGATTCTATAACTCAGTGTTTTTACATATTAAAAAATAACTTGGTTATGCATCATGGTTTTTTTACCTGCACATCAATATTGTAAATTATTTATTAATTTAAAACACTATCATATTACATCACATTAAGAGTAATATAGGCTGAGGCTTTAAATATGGAGCCAAAAAAAATTACACCCTTTAAATACATTTGTTATATCATCAATATTGGCAATAAATCTTCAAAACCTTTTAGACATTGTAGAAATAATGTTTTTTTAAATTTTTATAAAAAGAGGTTACTCAGCACCTGATATTTATAGCATAATTAAGCCTTTCTTTTCAAGTTTTAAATAATCAAAAACAGAAGAAAATAATTTTGTTTGCTACTGTCTCTGTATTTACCATTAGCATAGAAACCATGCCTTATTATGTCCATATCTGAAAAGTCTTTTACAATTAAGTGCCCAAAGTATATTTTACTCCATTGCAAAAGAAACAATCCTTTTATCTTTACAATTCAAACTGTATTTCCCCACCTTTCTTATATCCCTCTTCCTTTCTGCTGATCTCTAGATATGTTAAAACATTTTAGCAACTGCTTCTAACTCTTCTCCCACCACAAATTCTATTCAAACAAAATGAATTCACTGCACTTCTCACTGCTGCTGGTCACTCTTCCTATGTGCAGTCATCACAGTCATCAGCACATGACATTTTATTTTAGTCCCTGGAGTGACTCAGCTTTTTAAGATGTAACTCTTAAGTGGTGGTTATAACTAGTGCTTCATTTCCCATTAACCTCATAACCACTGCCACTCTATTACTTTGCTAGCATCTTTAATGCTCTCTTACCTTGCAGTTTATTGCATACAAGTTCCCCTATTTGGAAGTCTTTACCCACCCACTCCTTCTCTCCACCGCTTTTATCATTCATTTAATTTCTAACCACTTATTGTGTTTACTTTTTGGGAACACGATTTGGCAATGAAGATGCTTACTTATTTGTTTCTCTGTCTTTGTCACTTTCTTCTGAATATATCACAGGCACTTTAGTACTCTTTTAAATATGCAGTTGCTATTATCATATAGGTGCTGTTCTGTGTGTTGATGCCACACAAGGAAAGAACGGTTGTTGACTTTACGTCTTCCGAATCTCCAAGTATGGTAGTCTGCATGCAATAAACGCATGCTGAATGATGATGTAGGGTACACCTGCCATTTCATGTGTTTTTTATATCTCTAACTTATCCATCCATAGTCTCATGTGATTATCATTAAATCATTCTTTTCACCCAACTCCTCAAATCCAAGGCAACACACATACATACAATTTTTGATAATTTTAACCTAAAATTCAAGGCCTTGCACAATTAGTTCCTTGTTGATTTAGCTGACCTCATCTCCCTCTATCTACCTCTCTACCCAAATCAACCCTCCCAATAGTAGGCAGAAAAAGAGTTGCTTTTCACCTTTCCCAATTTCTGGGTTTCAGAATTTTAGGACTTTCTTATAAACAGCAATGCAGAGGATCTCAGGCAAGATAGTGTAAACAAAACACTCTAAGATTCTTTCTCAAGATTTTGTCTCAAAAATGACACCAGCCAAGTCAACAAAAGAAGCAACAAGTCAACAGTTACTGGAAATTCTCTCATCTCTGTCTTTGGCCCAAACTCTCTCCAAGGGAAGCTTTACAACTAATTAAACCTTAGTCCTGTTTGTTTTATTTACATTTAATGCAATTACTAGACAGAGGTTCTATTGGTAGGGCAAATAAAAGAATGTGCAAAACAATTTTAACAACACGATTTTGACTACTCAACACATGTAGTAGTCTGGGCTCTTCAAGAAACAAAATAAAAACCAGCGTCTAGATAGATAGATAGATATTAGATAGATGATGGATGGATGGATGGATGGATGGATGGATGGATGGATAGATAGAAACAGACATAGAAAAAGAAGGGGAGAGAGAAAAAGAGAGAAACAGAGAGAGAGAGAGAGAGAGAAGAAAGAAGAGATTGGTTGATTATGAGGAACTGGCTCATGAGAGAGCTACGAAAGCTGTCTCAAACTCTCCAGTTAGTAAGCTGGAAACCCAGGAGCCAATGGTTTAGTTCTGATGCAAGTTCAAAGTCTGAGAAGCAGGCAAGTTAATGTTGTAAGCTCCAATCCATGTCCAAATCTGAAAGCAGGAGAAGATTCACATCCCATCTTAAAGACAAGCAGAGAGAGCAATTCCCCCTTAGTCGGCCTACATGTTCTGTTCAGTATATCCACAGTTATCCACAGTATAGACCACCTAGGCTAGGGCAATCTGCTTTACTCAATCCACCAATTCATACATCATTCTCATCCAGAAACACCATCACAGACACAGCCAGGCTTACGTTTAACCAAATATCTGGGCACCCCATGGCCCAGTCAAGTTGACACATAAAATTAGCCATGATAACATATGACGTGTCTGTTTTTCTCTATATACATTTGCTCAAATTCATACTCACATCACATGGTGTTTCTCATATTTTCCACTAACTTAAGAGTCACGCATCCCTCAAGGTAAAGCCTATGACTTCACATTTCACAAATGTCTTCTCAACTACACCAACTCCTTGTCATTCTTTTTTATGTTGAGCTCTTGTAGCTAGCATTCATGTGTAGACACATAGTACATTCATATAAAAAAAGAAAAACAAAACATATAAGATGATGTATGCTAAATATCAACTGAATACACGTTAAATTTTAAAATTACTATGGTATATATTTTTTATATTGATTTATCCTGAGGATATCAAGTAGGGTGAGGCCAAAATATACGTTTAACTCCTACCACTTGCAAACTATACTTCTACATAATTTCCCAAAATCAGAATTTTTGTCAAAGCTGCAGCCTTTGAATTTTATGCAGCTATCTCAGTGTTTCTATACTGTGACTCACTAGACCAAGAAATCTGAATTTGAAGATATAGATTCAGTGGACATTAAGGCGTCTGTAAACTCCATGTAACTATATACACAATATTGTGTTTTTAACGTACTCATGAGAGTTCAGAGATCTGATTATATTCTCAAGAGTCTATGACCCCAGTATGCTAGGGGCCAGTATCCTTGGTCATTTTCTGCTATATCTTACAGGATTCTTTTTAAGAATAAAACAACTATTTTAATTGCATTTTAAGCTGCAAAGCACAAAACACTCCAAAAGTCGTGGAGTGAATAGGTATTATTACATGGCACTGCTGATGTGAATTTTCCTCCAATCAGACAAAAAATACACTGCTATTTTTCCCATTAATAAGTGATAGAACAAATTAACACAACTAATGAGACCCTAGAAGGCTTAGTTACTCTGTCTAAAGAAGAAATTTATCATTTGCTTTTTGAACGATGAAACTCATTATCAGTTTAAGTATCATTCTTTTTATGAAAACAAGGCCAAGTCAGTATCTACTGTTCTAAACGAAAAATTAACTTTGTTAGCTAATTCTAGTTTCTGAATATAATTAAGTCACACAGGTAATTTTTTTAAGTTATCCTTTTATTGTAGTCATATTTTTAAAAAGTTTTTATCCTTCAAAATATATAAGGAAATATTTATGAAAAATAATATAAAGTCTAGGCTTTCCAGAAAAATATGGGGAAAAGGGTGAATGGGTGAGAATATAAATAAAACAAAATTGGCCACGAGTTAATTATTGAAGAATGCAAGTTTATTCTCTGCACATTTGTAAAGAAGTAAAATTTTCAGATGATCCACTGATCAAGTTATTAATTTCAATTGATAACCAAAATGAATAAATGCAATCTTTGAGTGTAAAGCAATGTAAACTAATTCTTTGGAGATGTTAGTACTTCTGCACATCACATGCTGAGAGTCTCAGATTCTATCAAAAAATGCTATTTATGCCTTTCAGGAAAACTTTATTGACACCATCCAGCCAAGCCTTGTTCTTTTAAGTTGGGTCTCAGCATCTGTGACCTCATAATGTTCATATGTGATCTCTCAATGCGCTTATTACAGTATACTACTTCAAACTCTTGGCAGTTCAAAGAAGTAAGACTAGGAATGGCTGGATTTAAATAATCAAATGGCGTCATAATGACCTGGTCTCTCGCCATGTGTTACTTATATTTTTCTGTTTCTAATATTTTCATCCTCAGACTGGCTCTCTTTATATGAGAGGCTGTTGATTATCTCAAATTTATAATCTTAAAAAATGAGAGACCTTGTGACTCCTGGTATTCAAATTTTATGAAAGAGTCCTGATTGGAATTACTCAGCCCATGTTTTTTTGTTTGCTTGTTTTTTGTTTTGAGACAGATTCTTGCTCTGTTGCCCACGTTGGAATGCAGTGGTGCAATCTTGGCACACTGCAACCGCTGCATCCCAGACTCAGGTGATCCTCCTGCTTCAGCCTCCCAAGTAGCTGGGACCACAGGCATGAGCCACTCTATCTGGTGGTTTTGGTAGAGACAGGGTTTCACTATGTTGTTCAGGCTGGTCTCAAATGCCTGAGCTCAAGTGATTCGCCTACCTCAGCCTCCCAAAATGCTAGGATTATAGGCATGAGCCACCACGCCCAACTTTGGTTTATGTTCTTAATCTTGGACCAATCTCTGAGTTCCATGAAGTAAACATGGAGGAATGAAGGAGTTGTTTCTCAAAGGCACATTTACCAGGCAGATAAAAGTGTCACTTTAAGTATATTGTAAATATTTTATTATGTGTCTGTTTTCCCTAGTGGACTATAAGCTAGAATAAGAGTTATATCTCATTAATTTGCCTATACTCAGTGCAGAATTCAGGACCTCATCCATAGGAGGTGTTTAGTAAATATCGATTGAATAAATATGATGTAAAAGAATGTAAATAACCATCTAGGGAGAGGAGAGACAGTGGAGAGACTGTGCTGCCATAATTCCTAAAGCATATCAGCATGTACAAGTGCAGGAATCGCTCACAGTGGACAATGTGAAGAGGAACAGAAGCATGAAGAATAAATAGGTCTTCATCTTTAAAGCACTTTGCAAAGGTTCCAAAGACACTACACTGTCCCCTCAGCTGGTATCAGTCACAGAGAAGCTTCATTTAAACCTTGATGTCTCCCTTTTAATAACACATAAGAATGCTTAGGGAATATTTAAAATTGTGCCACATCCACATAGTTTTGTGCCAACTCTACCAATGTATCACTGGAAGGTCTAGTCTATGATACATTAGGAAACTGAGGCTCACAGGGTTTCTGGTATCAAAACCAGAAACTTTGCTAACTTCTACTTAACCTTCAGGAACTTTAATGGTGAAAGTATTCAAAAGGCAGAAAGTCTTCTGCAGTGTTTTATATGCTAGTGCTAAGTGTTTATGTAACTGAAGTGTTATTTTTCCTAAATAATGAGCTAGAGTCTGGATAAATATATTAAGTCGAGGGACAGACTCAATGATTTAAAATGACACATGCCTGTAATCCCAACACTTTGGTAGGCCAATGCAGGCGAATCACTTGAGGTCCCATCTCTATTTTAAAAATACAAAAATTAGCCAGGGATGGTAGCACATGCCTGTAGTCCCAGCTACTCCGAAGCCTGAGGCACTAGTATCTCTTGAACCAGGGAGCTAAGATCGCACCACTGCACTCCAGCCTGGGTGACAGAGTGAGACTCCATCTCAAAGAACAACGCAAAACAAAACAAAAAAGTGGCTCAGGGATCATTAATAGGATCACGCCATGAGTGCAGAGAAAAAAACATTTCAAGAGAGGAAGGATGGTGTGGTTAATACCATCACGTGCTCAGAGAGTTTGAGAGGCCATGACAACACATCAGAGAATTGGCTGTTGGGACCTGAGCAAGTCTGCTACGGTTTGGATGCATGTCCCTTCCAAAGTTCTTGTTGAAACTTAATGCCCCTTGTGGAGTTATTAAAAGGTGTGGCCTTTGGGAAATAACTTAGTCATGAGGGTTCTGTCTCCATGAATAGAATTAACACCCTTATAAAAGGGCTTGAGTTTGAAGGGAGTACTCTCTTGCCCTTTAGCCTTCTGCCATGTGAGGACACAATAAGCAAGTGCCATCTTGGAAGCAGAGTGTAGCCCTCACCAGACACCAATGCTGGCACCTGGATCTTAGACTTTCCAGCCTTTAGAACTATGAAAGATACATTTCCATTGCTTATAAATTGCCCACTCTGTGATATTTCATAGCAACACAAAGAAATTATGACAGTCATATAACAATAAGAGAGAAGTGATTGAGGCAAAGTAGGCACAAGTGATTTTTTTCAAGTTATTTGGTAGTGAAAAAGTAGCAAAGGAAGTTGCAGGATTGTAGAAATAGTGGCGGTGTTTTGTCTGTTTGTTTGTACAAATAAGGAAAGGTTGATGGTGTTTGTAGGTAGAAGGAAAGGAGCCAGTCAAGAGATAGTTGACCGTTTCTGGAAAAGAAGTTACTTCATGGAGGAAGGTCTTGGGGAAGGTGAAGGAGGTGCATTAAAGAGCATAGCTGAACAGGTTACTTTAGGTAAGAAAAGCCAAAAACCCGAGGTATGTATTTCTATTATAATTAGATAACTATTATTTTTTAAAGACGCAACAGATAATTTCTACCCAATTCCATTTCAGTCAAAACAACTATTTTTCACTGATTGGCTTTTCTTATTATTAAAAAGAAAATTTTGGGTAACAATGAAAAATACAATAATTAAAATGTTCTACTTATGACACCATACAATGAAAAGGGTAATACAAATATCAAATACACAAATATAGATAAATTAAATACATTAAAATGTTAAAGAAGGAGATTATTCAAAAATAAATAATTCAGAATATTTTCAGCCAATGCCCCAAGAAACAAAAATACAATATAAAATTAAAGCACATTAAAAGGAAATTATGAATATCTATATTGTTACTATGCTTTGGGGAACAAAATCTTAAAAGAACTTAGCTTTTCTTTAAAAGAGTGAATTCTAGTCACCAAAAAAAATGTAGAAAAGGAGAAAAAATACATTTTATTAATATAAGGAAGTAGCCTATAGGGGCCAATAAAAAAGTAGGAAGAGAGAAGATGAGGGAAGAAAAGAATTATTCACTGGGAAAAGTACTTCAGTTCTTTGAGGTCAGTTGAGCCTTTATTCAATTTAACTTATTCAGGGCACTAGTTCAAAGCCTCTTTTCACTGCAAAGGTTAAGTCACCACAACCAAATTGAGGAGGGTAATTTACCTTTAATCTTATTATGATGTAGCACAAGTAAATTTAAAGTAGTTCTCTGAGAACCAACAAAAAATAAAACCACCCCTAGAACAAATAATGTACATGTATGGCAGTCCTCTCTGTCTTTATTCCTGTGTTGGGAAATGTTTTGGTGATATAATAAAAATAAATCAGACAGACATGATCATGTTAATGTGAGAGCATGAGACAATCAGTCACAAATGTTCTATAGTTATTTTCAAACAAGCTCCACACCTAGAAGCAAACCTAGTCATCATCATCATCTTGTTATTGCTACAGGAATTTTTGAATGACTGCCTAAGACATGAGCCACAGGATTTCAAAAGACCAAGATTCAGACTGATAAGTTGCTAAATTCTACAATTTGATAAAGGGTTCTGCATTAATTAGATCCATTTAACTTAGGAAAACTTAGGATTCACCGTGATTGAAATCCCACTCATTTCAAAATGTTGCTGAATTTATTCAAATAAACAAATAACTCTTAGAATGAAAATGTGCCCCTATTTTCTACCTATAATTATTGCCAGAACCCATGTGTTAATTTCCTTGAGCTTTACCTAGACTGGGAGACAAAGTGAGGTAACAAAAAAAATTGGTTCTCCTGACAGAGGAGCCTCTCCAGTATTTGGGGCATTTTTCAGGGATTTCTCCACATGTTCCTCAGCAGATCAGCCCATAAAAAAGCACAGCCTCTTAGTAATGCCCACCTCCCATGAAGCCATTTGAGGGAGATTTGTCACTACTGCCCAGGTTCTCCATGAGAATACTCAGGGAAGGGATTCCCTTTGTGCTCCTAAAGCCACAAACCCGAGAGCTGTCAAAATGTCTCTACCTTCCTTTCAGCCTCCTGAGTCTCAGGGGCATACAGTGCCTTTCTTGTGCACAGTGGAGTGAATCTTTCTTTTGTCTCATTCTGTGTTGAAGGTAAATATTTATTTTCTTAACTCAAACAGTTATGAGAGTGAAAGGGGGCTCTAATTAGTAGTTACTCCAAAACAAGAGGATAAACTGGGCTGTCCCAAGCAAACCAGGGAAATATAGCCAGCTTGTGGTTGGTTCCTGTTCCCTTGGGCAATGGGCCTTCCTTCTGGTTCCTTGCTGGTTCTTATGTTCAAAGACTTTTGTCAGCATCTTCCTTTTCTTTACAGGCCTCAGTCTTAGTTCACAGAGTGGGGCTGGGGGGTAGGCACATATTGTCTTTTCCATTGCCCACCTACTTCACCCCAGCTGCCCACACATCCACCTCCACTTTACTGGCCTTCCCTCCGCCAAGACACAACCAGACTCAGATTGTCCAAAATCATCTGAAAATAAGACACCACAGAGTAGCAAGCCAGTCCTAGCTTAGTAATCAACATACCACCCCAACTGGGAAAAAAAAATGAATAAATAAAAGCAGGGAAAGGATAACCTTCCCTTTGGCCCAGCCAATTAATAGGTTTCCTTGTTATGAATGTATATAAATCCAGCTTGAATGTAGCCCTTCTCCTCTTCATTAAGTATTGATAATTGCATCATCACCCTATCTGGAAATATATATATAACAAAGCAATATTAGTGAAATCATGTCTATAAAGTATTATTGATCTTTGGGAATAGGAAATTGCATTAGTAGTGATAATAAATTTTATGTACAATAAAGAAGTTTAAATGGGAAATAACACATTTCTTCCTAAAAAGCATTCATGAAATTTCCTTTAATTTAAAATGAATGTATCAGCCACATTTATTCCCATTCACTAGCTGTAGGAAATCCATAAAGAACAAACACAGTCTAATAGTTGATTTTGTAGGTTCCACTAGAGACTCACACATCTTTGAAGACAGTTTTTAATAATGGACTACACAACAATCATCTGAAGCAGAAACTTTTAGGGACAGATCATGACACAATTATACATACAACTTAAAAAGAAAATTATGTTAGTCAAGACTTTAACAAAGATCTTACTTTGCTCTCTGTTAGCATTCAAAATAAGACTATGATATTAAATTTAATATTAGATAATCAGGCTACCAAGTTTAGGTTTGTTCCATTAATCTAGATTGCCTCAAGGAACAGAGAAAATTATGACCTTAGATAAACATAAGCATAGGACTTTGCACATTTGGGCTACTTAATGGCTATTTGTTTATTTGATAATCTTAAAGTATCCCCAACCCAACAGGCAATGTTACATCTCGTGATATAGGATCCTGACTTTAGACTAAAAACATGACATTATTTCTTTCTTTCCTCTTCCTCTCTCTTTTTTTTTTTTTTTTTTTGAGACAGAGTCTTGCATCTTGCTCTGTTCACCAGGCTGGAGTGAAGGGGCACAATCTTGGATTACTGCAACCTCCATCTCCCAGGTTCAGGTGATTCTCCTGCCTCAGCCTCCCAAGTAGCTGCGACTACAGGTGTGCACCACAACGCTCAGCTAATATTTTGTATTTTTAGTAGAGATGGGATTTCACCGTGTTGGCCAGGATGGTCTAGATCTCTTGACCTCGTGATCCTCCCGTCTTGGCCTCTCAAAGTGGTGGGATTACAGGTGTGAGCCACTGCGCCCAGCCAAAACACAACATTATTTCTAGGCATGGAGAAACCATGCAATTTCTCAGACTGCATTTCTAGGCTCAACAAGAAGTTTCACTGGGAAAGGGCTCAGCATTGATGTGAGGGAGATGAGTGATGAATGATAACATGAAGTCTGTGAATAATACAATCATCCAGTTTGAATCCAAATCAGGACAGCATGCTGCATAATTGAAACTCTTAATATGGCTTCCACGAGGTTGCTGGAAGGATCTGCATTATCAAGCATGAGACACATGCCAAAATAATCTCTCCTCCTCTTCATAACCTTCCTTTCTCAGTGCCTCAAATTCTACCATTGTAGCTTAGGTCCTCTAGTATTTCTCATAAAAATGAAAATCATCCCTGAGAAGGTTATTTAATCGAGCATTTCTAAAAAATAATTTATACTTTCTATCCCTCAGGATGATGTAGGGAAACAAAGCAAAACAACACAAAATTCTGCAGCCAAATAAATTTAGTAAATGCTGCATACTTTATTAGTCTTTAAGATTCACAGTGACACTATATTTTTGAAAGCTCTGAGATATATTGCAGGAAAAAGCTTTTTTATAATTCATATTGTTTAACTGAGTGTTTGCAAAATGTTTCTATGATTCCAGAATCATACTTTGAAATATTCTGTAGCATCCAGAATACTGTAATGTCAACTCACCATGAATCATCAGAGTCTGGAAACATGAACAACATGATGAGCAGCTAGGGAGCCAGGAATAGTTACTGATTGGCTGGTCTCTTTGTCATTGCAGGATTAATTGGACTAATAACTACTAAATAATACCCACAGTATCAGTGTTTCTCTAATTTTCTTTAGCTCCATAGAGAAGTATATACATACTGGCTCATACATTTAAGAATTTATCTGCTGGGTGCAGTGGCTCACGTCTGTAATCCCAGCACTTTGGGAGGCCAAGGTAAGCAGATCATGAGGTCAGGAGTTCAAGACCAGCCTGGCCAATATAGTGAAATCCCATCTCTACTAATAATACAAAAATTAGCTGGGCATGGTGGCACGTGCCTGTAGTCCCAGCTACTCAGGAGGCTGGGAGAGAATTGCTTGAGGCAGGAGAATTGCTTGAACCCGGGAGGCAGAGGTTGCAGTAAGCTGAGATCACACCACTGCACTCCAGCCTGGGCGAGAGGGCAAGACTCCATCTCAATCAAAAAAAAAAAAAAAAAAAAAAGAATTTATCATATCCATTATTAGAGAAATAAGATAGGCCCCACATGAAAAGTTAATGAACAAGGAAATACTTGATTGAATAATGAGTAGGTTATACAGACGATGTGTCTTTGAATTCTGAAAATAAGTAGTCAGCAGAATCAAGGTCAGCTTTCAAGTTTGGGGAGCATTTTTATGAACAGAGAAGGAAGGAGTGTCCTGGGAAAGAGGTCCATGAGAGCAAAGGAGGGGTGGTAGGTACTAGAAACCTACTGCTGGAATGACTGAAGCCACTGCAGTCAGGGATCACCACTGTCAGGCATTGTGTAGCCCAGCTTGGGGCTCACCATGGACCTGACTCCACAAAGAGTTCTTCTCAATGGGAGATGCCTTTAGAAAGAGCTGCCACCAGGAAGCACAGCAGGAGCCACTGACAGGAACCTGATGCCACCAGGAAAGCCTAACAAGAAAACTGCCTCTAACCAGCCATTCTCAAAAAGGAACTATCATTGCAAGGACTAGTGAATGAATTAGGCCAAAGCTATCTTATTACTCAAGATACTAGTCCTTTTGTGATCTCCTGGCAATATCCAAAATTTGTTCTGGTTTTGAATAGAGTGGTGGCTATAAAAACATATTGCTCAGACGTCATTCTCCTGGAGGCATAATGGCCTAATAACCCAGGTGCTGTCCTCTGGATCCACTACCATATTGCAGTTCAAGCTGTGCTTCTGTGAGAGCTTCTGGCTAACAATAAACCTGGTGAGGGTACTGAGGCAAGCCCATTCCTGGGATGCAGAACTCTATAATCGGCAACTTTTCCGTTGACCTAGCTGAACATTTCTTGGAACCATGCTGCAACCGAACATTCTTTCTATCCAGACTTACTTTCTTTTCTGCCCCCTTCACAGCTGTCAGATCAGCACTGTGGTTTCAAGGCTCCTGCTGCCTTCTCTAGCTCCTTCCCCCCCATATCCTTCTCAGGCATTTCCCTGTATATATTTTTTGCACATCTAATCCTAGCTTGGTGATTGCATTAGCCTGTTCTCACACTGCTGTAAATAAATACCTGAGACTGGGTAATTTATAAGGAAAAGAGGTTTAATTGGCTCATGGTTCCTCATGCTGTACAGGAATCATGATTCTGGCATCTGCTTAGCTTCTAGGGAGGCCTTGGGAAACTTCTATTCATGATGTGGAAGCAGGCATCTTCACATGGCCAGAGCAGGAGGGGGTGGGGAACAGTGTACTTTAAAAAATCCAGATCTCATGGGAATTCTATCATGAGAACAGCACCAAAGAGACAGTGCTAAACCATTAGAAACTGCCCCCCATGATCCAATCACCTCCCATCAGGCCCCGCCTCCAACTCCAGGGATTACAACTGAACATGAGATTTGGGTGGTAACACAAGTTCAAACCATATCAGTGTCTGCTTCTCAGAAGGCCCCAACTATGGCACAATCTATTCTGAGGTTCCATTACGTTGAGCTTTTAGGTGACATCTGTCTCTCTCCCAAGCATCCCAGCCCTCAGCAATAATACTACAAAGAGGGAAAGAGCCATCTCCCAGTGCCACCATACCTTTAGTATTGAATGCCAGGCCCAAATCTGCCCTTCCTTCTCAATAAGATTTAATTTAGAAAGGATTTTATCATTTCATAAATGAAAAAGAAAATTAACACTGGGAAATGCACCACCCAAGTAAAAAGATAAAAAAATATACATTCAGAATAAGACAGTGTTGTATAAAATTGTATCTTAAACAGCCTAAAAGAGGGTTCTGTTGCTTTTTCAATCAGCAAGTAAGTTACTATTTCTCTACCTTTGGTGTATTGTATTCCTAGGGCTTCAAAACAAAGTACCACAAACCTAATAGCTTTAAACAACAGACATTTATTTTCTCATAGTTCTGGAGGCTAAAAGTCTAAAATCAAGCTGTCAGTAGGGTCATGCTCTCTCTGAAGTCTCTAGGGGAGAATCTGCTCCATGCCTTTCTCTTGGCCTCTGGTGTTCCTGCCAAGCCTCGGTGTTCCTTGGCTTAGTAACACATTCGTTCAATTCCCGCCTCTGTGATTACATGGTATTCGCCTAGATTGTCTCTCTCTCTCTTCTTATAAGGACACTAATCATGATGGATTAGGGCTAATGACATTGTATTAACTTGATTACTTCTGCAAAAACCCTATTACCAAATAAGATCGCATGCAGTTATCAGGAGTTAGAACCTTCTGGGGGAGCCACAGTATAACCCACAACACTTGTGTAGAGGCTTGTTTCTTTGGGTAGAAATTGGAAAACTGCATAATTAAACAAAATTTCTCACTGATTTGGTAGATAAGGAAACAAACAGTTCTACTTTTAGCCAGTGAATTGTGTTGCTGTTTGTATTGTATTTTTGTTGTGTGTCTGATAAGTCCACATCCTGTACATCTTCAGATACAGCTGGCATTTAGCACTTTGGGTCACTGCTGAATACTGCTGGATGGATATGACATGAAACCAATTCGAATCTTCTAAATGTCGGCTGTGGATGATATGAATTGATAGGCATATTTATTACAACTGGTAAAAGCACTGCTGGTTTGGAGTAGTGACCTTTCTAGCTGAAATTAATTGGGTCTCTGCAATGACACTACTTGTACATGAATACAATTTTCTGATTCAGAGAAAACAGAATAAAGAAACTACCAAATCAATCAGCCAAAAGGAGTATCATGAAGCACTCTTGAGATAATAAATCATATAGCACACTGAGGCTTCACATATATATGGTGACACATTTT